ATTGTTGCGATTTATTACTATAATTCCCCAACAACTACAAGCACAGCAGCAAAAGTTTTCTTTTTACAAGTAAATTTTAGATCAAAAACAACGAAAAAACACGTGCCATTTTCGCAAAACCATGATCATGTTGGTTCAATACTCAATTTATTATGGTCGACACCTTATTACTTGTCAGCATCCAACTATGAGAGACTGTCCAGTAGTTTTAGATACCATTATAGCACGGCAAAACGGAGTATTGAAATTTTCTTTGGGCCGATGTTCCAGAGTTACAAAAATTAAATTAAAAAATAAATTTACCGACTTTCACAAATCGTTTGTACAACAGAATTCTAAAATTGTGCTCGTATTTGAGTTTTTCTCTTAATTAATAATTCGTGTAAATTTACGCAAATAACAAAAATTAAATTAATATACATATGTATTTTTATTACTTCCTTAACTCTGCGTCCACTTTGCCAAACTACGTTATGTAAATACTATTTTTTGCCTCCTCTATGATAAATATCAAAACAATTTACGTCACAATGATCACAATGTGGACTGTGAACCATTTTCAAGCGGTAAAAATGATAGGTTATACGACAATGCCCAAAACGAAGTCTTAGGGCGCCTTCCCATTATGTCGTCACGTTTAATTATCGTTGGACGACTGTCGTCTCTAGCCTGGTTCCCATATCACGACTATCTGTCGTGGACGATTTTTTATCGTTAAACGACTGTCGTGACTAGCTGTTCCCATTAGTTCGTGACGACAATATATCGTTTCACGACAGCCTCCTTGCCCATCTCTGGCTACGACCCAACGCTACTGCAAAGCGAGCAGAGGGCGCGGGGTACGAGAGGGGAGGGCAGGGAGCAGAATACGTGCGGACAGCGATAAATAAAACGTGACGACAATAGGAGCTGTGACAATCTGTGGTCACGTTTTTATCGTCTGACGACTTTCGTTCTAACTGTTCCCACTGTGACGACAGTTAATCGTGTCGTGCTATATGTGAACAACTTCATTTAAATATACAAGCCATGACACTGTAAACTGCACGACAATCACGTCACGACAGTCACGACAGAGTGGGGAGCCCTGAGTTGTGATTGTCGTGTACAACTGTATGGTCTCTGACCTTCGCCTGTTCCAAACGGAACGAAGGAAAAAAAAGAAACAATTTACGTCATTTGGTTTTTCTTCATGACTGTTTAAATTGAAAGCACATGAACAATACATTCTTTTGATAAATTAAAGTTATTATACTATTTACTTAATAAAAATGTGTTTTATACACAAAAATATTATTTAAAAACATAACACCCTTATTTTCTAGGGCTCTATAACAAAAAAAACCTATCTTATAAACTAAATCTGCCCTTATTGTATATACATACAATAGCAAGCATTAATTTTTTTTTAACATGGGTAGTACCATAAATCTACGCTTTCTGTTCCTGCACCGACTATGAGTAAAACTATGACTTTTATATAATAGTAATATCTAATATTTATTCCTTTCTCCCACAATATAGACATTCCGGCCGGCACATTTAGCGAAACACTAGTAAAACCGTCAGCACCGGCGCTAGCCCTATACGCCCGGGTGGAATCAATACCCTGGCGCCCTACGCGATCGAAATAAACTATTTACAGTTATATTTTCCCTAGTGATAGGAAATTCGGGTGCAAATGGTGTAATTATAAATGATGTTGGGAAGCAATAGCCCGTTCACTTCGCTTGCGCCGCTAGCGCTCTTTGGAGACGTCGCGAACGACGCTCGGCGCTACAATAAAATGGTTTTCCACCGGTGAGGCGAGACAAGAATTGAAATCTTGCTAGCCTATTTACACCAAAAATTGCCATCGCGAGCTCGCGCTGCACAGTGGTTGTAGATAGTGACGTTTCAGAGCTATTCACTTCGTCTTGCGATAAACATGCGGCTGAAGTAACATGTTCCGTAAAATTATTATTATTAAATATATTAACGGAAGAAGAATTAGACGAAGCTATCTTTTTTAATTTCAAATCGTTCGTGCACCACAATTCCGGAATTGATAATAATAGCCATCGTGAGCTCGCGCGTACTCGCGAAATTGTGTTTCAATACTACGTCAACAAATATTTCAATTCTCGTCTTGCCCATTCTCATCAATCCAGACCATTTCCACCAAAGATGCGCCAAGAGAGAATTGAAGTTTGGCCATACAAATTTCAATCTTCGTCTCGCCTCACCGGTGGAAAAGCTCCTTATGACCCTTCGCCGCCGGTGTGCGCCGCACACTCCGCACTAAGAAGATAAAGCCGGCACTGAAAATACTCACAATAATGCAGAGCTCTATTTTTTTTCAATGTTAAACTGTTAGAATTTTGAAATTTTCAGCTATTTCTGCTTTGTCACAAAATTAGGGAAAAAGTTTTTGTTTAAATTCAATTTCTTTCTTTCAATAAAGATCGAGTAAGACTGTCTGAATCGATATTATACAACGTTAATATATAATTGCTACTTTATGTCTAATTCTCATTTTTCAAACATAAACGCTACTATTTTATATTCTCACTTTCTTGTTCCGTTATATGTGCCGGTAGTTGTATTATTACAATAAGTCGTTATTATAACATATTTTTAGCTTGTCATTAGTTTGCATTTAGTTTGTTACGTATTAAATGGAAAGAACTTTCCTTGACCTGCAATGATTTATATTATACATTGACAGCCACGTACATATATATGACAGATTCGCACATACGTATGGTCTGGTCTGATACGGGTTGGAAACTTTTGTTACCGAAGAGCTTTATGTAGCTTCTCCAACATACAATATTCATCACAATGTGTTTTTATAATATACTTTATTTTCGTATAGTAAAAACACCTAATGCGGTAAACGTACGTGCGGTTTTCAGCTGTAAAATCGGTGTACTATACGTATATTTTACAAGTGCACATTGCGGATAAAAAAATAACATATTAAAAAAATCACGATTAGCGTAACTTTCACAATGCCAAACGATTATTTTTTTAACGATTAAGATTATTTCTTAAAGATGTGAGTAGTTATGCTTATCATATTTTTATGTAGTGAAAATATTTAAATACATAGATCGACTGAGTTTTGTTTTTCATTTGGTACAATCGACAGTACAATCTGTCATGTGCAATTTTATAATTCCACATGGCAGATAAAAAGTCGCGTATACAACGATATGAATGTCACTTTTATGGCAATGGCATACGATTATTTCAAAGCGATGCGAGTATCTTATCATATTTGCGTTTTTTTATCATATTTGGGTAGGTGTGAAAATACCTATCAAAGTGTTTAGGTAAATGCGTCTATTCCCGTTTTCAAATGTTAGTACAGTGTAACGTGAAAGTTTCAAAATGTATATTGTTCTTTATTATTATTATTGATCCAAAAATCGAACAACACAAAGAAAAGCTCCTTCGATCTGACTGGACTTGAAACAATGTCTGTTTGTGGCCATGCCAAGGCCGTCGCTCTTGTCCGATTGAGCTATAGACAGTCTTTTTTTTTCAGCAGTCATTACGAATTTTTCCATGTGTTTATTACTTATCTTTAAGTTGGATTTCAACGGCTTTTTTTTCCGCCAACTCCATCAGCGAGATCATTTTTTTTTCAAAGTTATTGACATTTTCTCTAAATTAAGAACTGCTGGTAACTGATTTTACCACCAAATCTTCGATATGTGGAAAAAATAAAGTATATAGATAAAAGCCACACAATTACTACTATCAAGGCAACAGGAATAACAAAATACCGTAGATTTGTACATTTCCATAATTATACACAATGGTTAATTACAAAGATAATTACTATTCGATGCGTTCGATTCTATCTTAATAAATTTCTATAACTTAAAATTACAATTTTGATAAAAAAAAATATAAACCGCTTTTAAATTTTGTAGCAGTAGACCTCCTTGTAAAATAGTTCGTACAGGGGAGTAATCTGCCCTTCCTATCATAACTAACGTAATCGACATATTAAACGAAATTGAGTTATTAACATATGTGTTAGTATGGCACTGTTAACACAATAGTATATTAACACAATAGTATATGAACTCAAAAGTGTACTTTTTCAGAATCGATGAAAAACGAATTTCTCACTTCCCGTGAAAGATTAATAAAATGTATGTATAGGTTAAAGTTTATTACAGACGTTTAAACAATTTCCTACGTACCTAATATATTTAAGTATAAAGGGAAAAATCAATGAATATTTTGAGTAAGGACTTTTTGTCCGAAATTAGCTCACAAAAAGTGTCTCATTTTGAGTAAAGTAGATATTTTTTAATTGTTCCTTAAAATATTCTAACGACAGTTTTATTGACATGTAGATAATTAAATTTTACGTTCAGCAATAGTATAATCTTGAATTTTACATATTTTGAATTACAACACTATTGTAATAGCAGTGCGTCTCGAATTAGCGCAGCGAGATCTACAACCCTCTCTAATCGGTTTTTTAAACATTATTTAGTTTTAGTTTTATTGTTAAGCAAAATCAAATTAATTTGACATTATGCAAATGCGTTACTTACTACAGGAGGGCAGTACTACCACCACCATAGCTATTTCTGCCGCCAAGCAGCAGGGAGGACATTACTGCGTTACGGTTTTGAAGGTAAGGGTGCTAGTGTAACAACAGGCACATATGAGGCTTAACTTTATAACTCAAGATGACGGGAGCCGCAACCGCAATTTGTACGAAAATAGAATATTCGCTTCTAGTTGCCGGTTGCTTGTATACAAAACAAGACACACGTTTGCGCTGAGTGGCACGCAAATGTTATGAGTAGGCGTGATTCACCAGGCGCATGACTTATTCGTCCCGTGACTTGATTATTATAAAAAAAATTAAGTCCTCCAACATTAATTTACCTGTTTGATACTTCTTAATAACATACATATCTATGTTATATGTATAAATATATATAAATATTTATGTCTAAACTTCAAGAAATATAAATGTATAAAGCGTGGAAAATACATAATTGTGCAATCGTGGAATTATTTAAAATAAAAAGCAAACAATTAAAATCAAGTAAAGAAAAACAGGTTTTTCATGGAGTTCTTAGCTTTTCGCCACTGTTAGATATGGGACCCATAAAAGGGCCCGAAACGTTGGTTTGTTTGAAAAACCAAATATGCGATTTAGATCTGAAAAAAATAGTTTCATTTCCTAGTTACATTATTACTTACAGTTACACTAAACTGTTCTGGTAAATACGTTACGTAATAAAGAAATTGCTTTATAATACAATTACGGGATTTCAGAGGACGGTATTAATCACTCTGTATGTACTACTATTTCCACCAGGTTTATGTAAATATACACTACGTATTCCATAATCTGGTGACTACTTTAACCCTTAAACAAACGCGAGTCTCTATGCCCAATCTATAAGATAACGTAAAAAAGGTGGTAAATAATTTACATTCATTTTATTAAGGATAGAGGGTCAAGTAAAGCTCGAAATGGTTCTGTATGTACAATATATAGCCCATTATTAACCGACAGTGGCAAAAATAAGTTTCAGCTCTCTAATAATGCTGGGAGAAAGGCCGCCAGGATCATAACTAGAGGTAGGTTCGGATGGGTACGACCGTCCCAGATTGCGTCGTGCTGAAGTGCCAAGAAGTGTGTATTCAAAATCCACTCGCAATTGAACCTGAACGATTCGGTCTACTGATCGATTTGATAGAAGTAACTAGACGATTATTTTATAATTTCGCAAGCTCGCAGCTTGGCTTCACTAATCCACAGCAAGAAAACATGATGAGGCATCGAAAGCCTTTTTCACTATTAAGAGCATCAAAAGACGATACGCTTTCCCTTTTAGGTACAGTGTAGAGATACCAAATAATAAGTGCAGTACAATCAGCATCGTTGCATAGCAACTAGGTATACACGACTGCACCGATTGCATTCAAACTGGGTTGCGACCAGTGTCGCCAGGGCCCTTCATTGAGTCGAAAATTACATTGCGTTACCTGAAAGCTAAATTTTACAAGTTCGTTTTCTTAATTAAGAATTCTAACTGTAAGTGATATACTATATACACGCCTAAATTCTAAAAATAAAAAAGTAATACGCTCAAGAAAAATCAAGCCATAACCGGCAATTGAACGATTTGATTTTGTTTGCAACATTTCAGAGTAACTCTATTGTCTAATTTGGGTGCGTTCGTATACTACTTTAGATTTACAATAACAAGTATACTTGAATTTAACAAATTTCGATGTCCTCAAAAGTTCCGAAAATTGCCTTAAAAACAAAAGCTACTTACAAAAGTTACAAAAAATGTAAGAATCGTAATCATCTGGCAATACTGGGTCCGACCAGATTAAAAAAGGTATTTCGTGTTTTTTTAATGCAATCGTGACGTAACTCATATAAACCAGAGACGTATTACTATCTACGTACATACCTATACTGTAAACATATACAGACACTCTGCATCAGCCTTGTAGTAATCATTCTAGCTAACTACATATTGTGTGTATGCTCGACTTGCTCACGTCAATGGATGAATTCATGGATTCATGCTCACCTTTATGGGTTCTAAAATCACAAAATTATTACAATAAAAATAAAAAGTTAGTGTTGCTTTAAAATACAAATGGTTGCTCTGGGATAAATTGCTAGTGGAAATTCTGCACATATTGTCAGCATTGTCAGCCTATTTAGCCTGTGGTTTGAGACTCGGTCCCTTTGACCACTTTTTCGATGGCTTGTTCTTATTTTCGCCACCTTCTTTGTTGTAAGACGGACTTGGGATGCGTTTGATAAGGAATCTAAAAGACAATTTACCATCCCTAACGAAGTGTTCCAAAGCTTCCACAGGCAACATGGCACATTTGGCTTGACGGAATACCTCATCAGCCCTCAAGGCGTCGTTGAAACAGTGTTCAGAAAACACAACCTTTCTACGCGGATCTTTCATACTGGTTACGTGTATCTCGTAGATGTGTTCTTTGGCTACTTTCTTACTTCCAATGTGTTGGATTGTCCAATACACCATCTTCTGCTGCACATCAATCTTAAAAGTGATGATAAAGATGAACTTGGCCTGCGACACCACATAGAGATAACGATCGTCAGCTCTTATATTGATGCCCTGTATTTCTATTATATTATCAGCGCCCACGTTGCACTGCTCCGGATGACGTTCTCTGATGTGGTCTACCAAGTTTGTCAGTTGTCCTGAAATATTTTAACATTATTTTACTAAAGGCACATGTAATCATCCGTAATATAATATATTTTTTTTAATAATTGGAAAAATTCGTAACATGTAGGTAGTAGAGTAGGTTGGTAGCGAAATGTTGCAGCACAAAAATATTTAAATATCTCTTCTCTATGGCTCTTGTGGAAATATAATACATTGAAGACTATTTTACTGGGGTAAATACCTATAACCTTTTTGCACTTTATTTATTTTATTTTATTTATTTTATAGTTAACGTACATCAACAGTAGTACATATACTCTTAGGTAATAGTGTAGTTTCACATTAGTTTTGTACTTATATGTCTACCCATTACAGATGTACACAGCATTTAATATCTATGCAACAGAAACAATAACATAAAATTATACATATATATATATACATACATACACATACACATACACATACACATACACATACATACTACTTACTATTACTTTAATTACTAATTACTTATAAAATTATTGGGGAAGCGATTCAAGAATTTGATTTTTGAAAACATTACAAGAAGAATAAAAGATGTCTATGTCAATTTGAGAATTAATTTGGTTATAAGTGGAGCAGAATCTAGATAATGGACTGTGCAAAGCTAGGTTAGTCCGGCAGCGTGGTATCTTAAAGATTTTGGTTGTTTTATGACGGGGGTATTTATATGGTATGTTAATATTTATTTGATTTAGGATATTGCAGCACTTTATTTTATTATTTAGTATATCATGTAAAAATAGAAGGTCAGATAAAGTACGGCGATCTCTAAGAGTATTCATTTTAAAGTACTGTAATTTTTGAACGTATGGTTGTCTATGTGATATACCCGACGAGAAAAAAGCTAATTGTCTTGTAAACGTACGCTGAATACTTTCTAGTCTTTGTGAGGGAGTACAGTAGACCGGGTTCCACACGACACTGGCGAATTCCAGATGACTCCGGACAAGGTTGTTAAAAAACTAATTATATATAAATAAAAAAATAAATTATAATTACCCTTCCAAGAGCATCGACCAAAAACAGCACCGACAGGACAATCCATCTGACGAAAAATACATTCTTTGAGATGCTCATCTATTTCTGTAGCGGCCTGGGTGTAGATGCAGCCCCTAGATTTGTTTGGACAGGGCACCTTCACCTAGAGCAAAAGTAGTTACAGAGTGACGTAGTCAAGCAAAAGATCCCTTCATGTTTATATAGATAATAGGCAAATACATTGTCGCCGATTTTGTTTTTCCAAAATAATTCTCAAAGTTTTCTAAATATTCTCAAATTCCCACATTCACACTTGGGCGCGCTAATAATGATAAAAACCCAAGTATACTAAATTCCATTTAGCATATCAAAAGCAACCATTCACCCTTTCAACCAAAACGTTATATTTGAAAACGATACTCGCGAATGTTCCGAGTTCTCGAATGTGGACGAGGGAGTGGGGGTTTAAAAATTAACAATAGGGTTTCTCAGGAACATTTTAATATAACAATAAATTGTCTTAAATCATATTAGTATTATTTCCTTTATGGCGTACCTAACTAATATAAAAAACATGGTGAAAATCGCCAGTGTCAGTATTCATTGAAAACAATCTCATAAATCACGTCATAAAGGCGCTCTTTTTACTTCTAAAAGTTCTTCTTAAAGTTCTGTACACATAAATATTGGTACTATGAGATTCAAAAAAAGAACGTCGTATTTTTCATAATTAGAACATCAATTAGAACGCTATTCCAACGCTTTAATCTGTGGCTATATTCCCTCTTGATTGGTTAAATTGGCCTAAAAATCTACCAAACAGACATAAAAAATGGGAAAAATAAACAATCGGGCCATAAAACTAAAAAAAAAATTTGTTAAAATCTTTGACAGTATTTTTTCCATCCTTAAGAGTATCTTTAAATACACGCGATGCGGTACTTGGCCAGTTCTATTCTATCTCTTTGGTTCTTTGTTTTGTAGCGTTTGTTTCATATATGCGTTATTATTCTAAGTATGTATGTATGAAGAGGTTGTATGGTGGAACGTTTCCTTACCCTAATAAATGGGTTACAATTTTTTTTTATTGCGTTTGTTGTCATGCATTGTTAACAAAATATAGGTATTACCTTAGAATAATAACGCATAGAATGATAGTTTCATATCAAACGAACTGTCACAAGTGAGGCAAAAATCAAATTCATGTAGGCTAGTTTTAGTAGTAGGTTAATTTTCGGTTTTAGTGAATATTTATATAAAAATACAAGTTGAAACGCGTTACTTCCTTGTGGAATGTGATGTTAGTATCTATTTTATGTTTGTCTGACGTATTTTTACACTCATTTACCGCACATTTCGTCATGTTTAGCTAAAATTCTTGATCTATTCGCGGTGCAAGTTGACCTTGAGCACTGAAGGCCCGCCCGCTCCTGTAGGCCCATTGGGCGCGCTTCAATTTGCCTCACTTAGCGTGTGCGGACTAGGTTTCTATGCGTTATTATTCTAAGGATATTACAATATTGGTTGTTTCATTATTTTATTTACTCGTAGGAAAGGTATTGTATGCAGTCATTACATAATTAGATCTTAAAATCGACTCCAAAATTGAACTTCGAAACACGCACTCTGTATTTTAATAAAATAAATTTCCGATTATATTAATGTTGTCCTTTTTTTGTTATATTGCCCGATATAAGAAACCATTTCCTACGCGGATTTGTAATGATGATTTTTCAGAGTACAAACATTTTTTCAAGACACATCTCGTCTGTGTTGTCGAAGAAGCGTAGTGTCTGAGTAAAATCATGTCGATGTAACATATTGTCGGAGTAGCGTAGTGTCTGAGTAATGTCGAAGTAACATATTGTCGGAGTAGCGTAATGTCTAAGTAAAATCATGTCGATGTAACATATTGTTGGAGTAGCGTAGTGTCTGAGTAATGTCGAAGTAACATATTGTCGGAGTAGCGTAATGTCTAAGTAAAATCATGTCGATGTAACATATTGTCGGAGTAACGTAGCGTCTGAGTAATGTAGAAGTAACATATTGTCGAAGTAGCGTAATATCTAAGTAAAATCATGTCGATGTAACATATTGTCGGAGTAGCTGTGTCGAAGTTCAATTTTAGAGTCTTTAAAATGTCGTATTTATTTTATTTAAGCCACAAAATACTATTGATGTATCAAAATTAGTAAAATATTTTGCCTTATATTTTACATATAATACACATAAAATAGAAAACGCAATAATATTAATATTAAGCAGAACTGTGAACCGAACGTAAAAATGGTATTGCTGGCAAAAAATAGCAAAATAAACTAATAATGAACACCAAAATAAAACGTGTAAATAAAACAACATCAAAAATAATACTTATGTTTCCGAAATTTTACCGAACGCAAGCGTACTCTGACATAAATTGTTTAAAACGCAAAAATGTCTGAAGGTAAGCACTTCTGGTGTGTAAGCTAATATATAAGTGTATGATCTATGCGTGCAAGGTACGAAAGAAACTGGTATAAGTGATCGATTAAAGTGATAAGAAGTTGACAACATACTTACTTCTGATATAAGTTTTTCAACCGTCCAGTTTCTGGCTTGAGTCATAGGGCTACGGCACAACGGGCAGATGGCTGGCAGTAGCTTAGACGTGCAACTGCTACATACGCTATGCCCAGATTGACACAGATATACAGGAATAGTCATATTCTCATGGCATACTGGGCATGTCGGCAGTTTTCCGCTGCCGTCATCTAGTCTATGTGGACAAGAAACGACATTGATTATTTTATTTTCAAATGCAATAATAGAATTATATGGAAAGGAGCAGTAGCAGGAGTCTCCTTGTGGAAGAGTTCGTCCAGGGAAGTACTGACACTTTACCTATTTCTGACGCCAAGCGTAATGTGAGCATACTGCGTTCGATTTTGAAGGGTGCTGGTGAAATAACAGGCACATAGGACTTGTCAACTTAGACCTCAGGGCGACCGGCGCAGTGGCACAGTGGCGCAGTGGCACAGTGGCGCAGTGGCGCAGTGGCTCAGATCTCTACGATTTAAAGCTCTGAGTGGCACTGCAACGTCATGGACAGGCATGTCACTTACCACCAGTCGCACGACTTGTTCATCCCGTCACTTGGTATTATAAAAAAAATAGAAATAAGAATGTAGTAGGTACCTATTTTACAAGTTCTTTAAATCCTATCTTTAAAGTTGAGTAATATTGGCTGTAGGACAGTTAAGGCTGGTAGCAAAGGGGTGTATTATATCCAAATAGGTACACTAATAGTGCGATGCGTTGTTAGTTGTGTAAATTAATAAGACCTTTAAGTATACCCCTTAATCTGCCTTCATCACAATATCAGTTCCACTTATTTACGTATCGCGCGATCAGAGTGAACTAAAAAACAAAGGTAATGAATTTTTCATTGAGGTATCATATTACTGCCTATTATAAGATCAACATCAAAAATAAATTCAAATAAACAAGACAGGGAGGATAACAGATATCCTATTTATTTATTTCCATTCCCAATGCAATTCCAGGTTTGGTAGTATTTTACTTCGATGAATCAATAAAATATTTATTTAAACAATAAAATGAGCACTACAGGTACCAAAATATCTGCGTAAATTACATTTTTTTTTATTAGATACTGCAATATTTAAGTAAATACAGACTGACTGGTTTCTTTCTTTTTTCTTTTTTTTTATTCGGTTCACAAAATTGGATACAACTCTTAGTGTCGTATTCTAGAACTCTACTCAACGCTCAAGTTAGGATTTGAGTATGGTTTAAAGCACTTGATATCATACTCAAGTCCCTGCCATTAGGGTCGTATTTCCAGTGCTTGTGTTGCCAGTGCAATCCTGACTTGAGCATTGAATAGAGTTCTAGAATACGACCCTTAAATCAAATACAACAGATTGGTTAACATTATAAGGCGAGAAGAGTGTGTCCTTCTAGATGTGAACACAGCGTTTCGTATTTAAAACATAAAGTGCTTAAACAAAATTATAGTAAATTAAGATTTACATATCTACTATTTATGAAATAGGAAACAGACAACTAAAATTCATCGCGCAGTCACTATATAATACATTTTCTTATTGAGTTTCTAGCTGAGACCCCAAGAGAATATGTCAAAATCATATCAGATAGCATTATAATAAGAACACATGCGATACACTGGACTGTGTTGACCAAGGTTGGTTCTGCAAGTAGGGAGTGCGAAAGTTTTACGATTGATTAGGCGACTTCCGGGACTAGGTACAGATAGATACAAGCACTCGAGTATATCAGGAGCGTCGATGACACCATGAATAATCTTGAATAAAAAGATCAGGTCAAGCGATTTTCGGCGTTTTTGCAATGAGGAAAAACATTGTCAAGCTACAAAAAACAAGTTTCGTCAAACTACGTACATAATTATGTACGTCACATTTTGTTATTACTGTGATGTTTGAGTAAATAGGTGCAAAAACTATTTGTGACATACGTAGTGTTAGCGTATCGTGACAATATACTATTTTATTTTGTTAGAAAACTTACTTTGCGTCATTAAGAATTAGTTTCATCGAAATAAGAAATAAATCGAGAACATCATCATCGATATCAACGGAACGGTGATAGGCCGCCGCCATTACGAAAAGCATCTTTGACTAGAACAGACGTGTTTTGTTTTGTTTGGATTTATAGTGAAAAATCTTATAATATAATTTATAACAGTCACTGGAGGCTCATTTCTGTGTCTGCTTGGAAAGTTTCCTACAGTAGATTAGATAGTCTAACTTTTATTGATTAAACTAGTTACTTGCTATGTATCTTACACTAAACTCTACACAATGAAAGGTATTTATACCTACACTAACACTTATAAGTGTTAATAGTGAGGTCAAATTAGTACCTAAGCGGTAGTGTGTCGATGCGATGAAGTTCCATTAGAGAGTACCATATTTATTTAGCGCGTAATCGACTTTCTTGAGCTGGGGGCCTACTATGAGCTCTTAGAGCAATCCTATTTAAGCCTGTAAGTTGGATTGCCTGTCAAATTCATACTATGACATCACAAAAACATTATACTGTCCATGCAGTTTACGTTCCCCATTCTAAATACGTTCACCTTTTCTTTTATAGATTAACTGCCTCAGTGGCCGAACGGTTACCATGCCGGACTGCCACGCAGAGGTCCCAGGTTCGATTCCCGGGCCGGGAGAAATGTTTGTATGGCTTACATTTATTTCTCTCGTGAGTTTGGGTGTAATTTGTGGTTGTCTATGTGTGTGTCCATGGCACCCGCGACACAGGGTTTCCCTAGTACGGGGCTATGTTGAGTGTGTGCGTTATTTATTATTTATAGCAAAATCGTATCATGACGTGCTGTTTGCCATGCAAATGGCGGTCTCATCTGTGAAAATGAGCAATTCAAAAAGTTACTCCGTGACTAATTTTTTTTTTGTTACATTTTGAAGAAATTTCGTTTAAGTTTTATTATATTTTCCGTTTCATAATTATTTGTTATCTTTATAAGCACAGACATATATTTAGATAGACGCCGCAAGTATATGTACTTCGCGTGCCCAAAGTAAGTGAAATTCACTTAGTTGCCGCTGCTACACTTTATAACGCGCTCGACCGTAGTCGTAGATACACACCAATCGAAAACGCGAAAAGTGCATAATTGTGCCATTATAAACTGCAAAAGCACCATAACTGTGGGTAAACGGGGAAACAGGGACGTTTCCTTCCACGGGCAAGTAATTTTGTAATCAGAAGATGCATAATTTATTTTAAAAACAATTATTTTGGTTTTGTATGAATTCCGAAAAAAAACAAATATACATATATGCAACCGAGTTGGTGCGATATATTTGTGATCCTTTGTTAATACGCCATGAACATCGAACGAACGCACTTTTATATGTATAATGTATTCAGTGGTACGGCCGCTTGTCAATTCTTATGGCCAATTTAACATTTAGTGATGAACACGTTAGGCAACACTGTCTCGATTCTGATCGATTTTGAAAACAAAGGGACGAAAATTACTATGACCTTAGCAATATTATAAAAATATTCTATAACTCTTTTGTGTTTAGTAACGCTTCGTTTTTTTTTTCAGTTTTGTAGTATCTATTATCAGTAGTATCTTTAATTTCGATCATTTTTGCAGCGCGTTGCCTCGAATGTCCGAATATAGTGAGCAAATAATTACATACATCGCCGGATATGTAGTACGGGTAATACAAAAAATAGATATAATACAAAGAATTAACAGTGCGCTGTCTTTACAAAAACCTGGAGATGGTCATAAGTATGAGTTCGATGGTTTCGAGGACGAAGGTGGTATAGTTCATCCCACTTAAAATGCTATCCAAACATGCAGAGTAGCAGAATTAGAAATCCGAGAAATAATAAACAAATCCCAAAAATTTCACACCAGGCCGTAATTAAGTAAACCTCTTCTGATTAATAAGATTTTACCATATTTTGTCAGCAGTAACATTTTCAATCAGAAATAAGGAGATCCGTAGAAGAACGAAAGTCACCGACATAACTCGAAGGATTAGCAAGTTGAAGTGGCAGTGGGCAGGGCACATAGCTCGTAGAATTGGCAGCCGTTGGGGAAGAAAGGTTCTTGAATGGAGACCACGAACCGGAGGAACCGGAAGGCGTTCGGTGGGACGGCCCCCTACTAGATGGACGGATGACCTGATAAGGGCGTCGGGTAACTGATGGATGCACGTCGCGTCCGATCGGCTGGTCTGGAAATCTTTGGGGCCTATGTTCAGCAGAGGACTTCATCCGGCTGATTTGGTGATGATGATGATGAACATTTTCATATGTCTTGCCATTCATTAATTTGATCAATTACCAACAGTCACAAGTTCATATATTGACGTGCGTTTTCATTATATGTTATATAATAAGCTCATTTTATTGGAAGGACAATAAATTTAATATTCGAAGTCGATTAAAAATAAAGTCTTCATTTTTTTTAAGTATATGCGTATTCCGTTCAATCAATCGATTTAGGTGAGCGGAAAGAGGTTTCCATCACTAAATAGTTCTTGTGACGTCATAGTGGGTACAAAAAATGTGGCTCGCTTTGTTTTCATACAAATTGCTGTACTTGCGGCGTCGATCTAGATATGTGTATGTCTGTGCTTATTATATATATATAAAGCTACAACTTATTACTCACTGATGAAATAGAACACATACTTCCCGATATGGTAGAAGGAAGATATTTATACCGTTGTAAGCGGATAGATTCCAAAGTAAGGAGTGAAATATGAGAAGACCTAAATGGGGAAAATATGAAAGAGTGATCAACGGCCTGCAAAAACTATAATATATGGAGGGAATATTTGTGCACTTTTATGAGGTACACAGGTACACTGTAAAATAGCCTGGATAGCAGTAATATAGCCTGGTCTAAGAGTAGTAATAGCCTCCGCAGTCCCAGCAGCCTCCATACTCTTCGTCTTACTTAGCAAGTTTTAGCAGTTGAAAAGACGAAAGTCCGGTTTATAGGAATTTATTCAGTACAACAACAATATTAATGTCTTAAAATGTAAACGGTTCAAAAATAAGAAAGTAGACGTTTTCGCTACCGCGATCGCGGAGAGAGTCACCGTGATACGAAGCAAAATGAGAAAGCAAAGGAAGATGGAACAATTCAAATTTAAAATTTAAATACAGGCAAAAGAAAAAATGATACGATACAAAAAGGTGAGATGACGGTGTAAGGAGGTC